AACAACCCCATCAAAAAGTGGGCAAAGGATATGAACAGACACTTCTCAAAAGAAGACATTTATGCAGCCAACAGACACGTGAAAAAATGCTCATCTTCACTGGTTATCAGAGAAATGCAAATCAAAACCACAATGAGATACCATCTCACGCCAGTTAGAAGGGTGATCATCACTACTTTAGAAAGAAGTGCTGACTGCATGCAGTGGCTCACACCTGTAATCCCACACTTTGGGAGACCAAGGCGGGCAGATCACCTGAGGTCACGAGTTTGAGACCAGTTTGGCCAACATGGGGAAACCCTGTCTCTACTAAAAATACAAAAGTTAGCTGGGTATGGTGGCACACTCCTGTAGTCCTAGCTACCCGAGAGGCTGAGGCAGGAAAATAGTTTGAGCCCTGGAGGTGGAGGGTGCGGTAAGCTGAGATGGCGCCACTGCACTCCAGCCTGGGCAACAGAGTGAGACTCAGACAAAAAAAAAAAAGCCTTACAGCATCTTTTGGCTTTGGTATATTCACTGTGTGGTTTACTAAGTGCTAACTCAAATCCCACACCTTGCCTTTGATGTTGTCTTCTGAGAAGAGCATTCTCAGCACATTATGTGAAATTTCAAACAAACACTTTTTGAGCCACCTCTCTCCACCCCTGCCACACTCACCACACTCACCGGAGTTTGTCACTCCGCCCAGACAGGTTGGTGAGGCCTAGGAGAGCCTCATAGTTCTGAAGCCCATCCCTCTGTGTGTCCAAGAGGCTTACGAGGGGCCGCACCACCTCATACACCTGTTGGGGAGGGGTCAAGGGTTTGGTCAGGTGAGGACTTTGTTCCCTGAGTGCCTTACATTTATAGGTGCCCAGCTGCAAAGTTTCCAAAACACTTTCTCGTACATTGTCTGATTTAATCCTCACAATGATCCTGACAGGCAGGATTATTTTCTTTATAGACAGGATAACGGAATTTTGGAAAGGGCAATCCTGTTTGTCAGGGGTAGAACCAGGCCTGGAATCCAGATGCCTCCAATGCAGCACCCTTCCTGTGACAGTACCATGCTCCTCTCCCAGGCTGGAGGTATAGTGACGAGGGGAAAGGCCTCTAGGAGCAGAGGAGACCCCTCCCATTGCCCTATCCCATCTACCCAAGCACCTACCCGCTCCCCAGGGAAAGCAATGTCCGGATTGGAGACAGCAGCGATCTTTGCTAGAGCGTGGGCTGCCTTCACCTTGCCCACATCTGTGCCCTCCAAAGCCAGGGGAATCAGGGCCTGTAAGAAAGGGCAAGGTCACTACTTAGTCACAGACATCCAGAGGCTTCCCTCCTATCCTCCTGCTCCAGGTGCTGTCTGTCTGTCCCGGTCCAGGAAGACTCTGCCATATAATCAGCCCTTGCACATCATGGAAAACAATTAAATCCTTAATCACATATTCACTCCCCTTCGTTCCCAGTGCACATCCAGGTCTTTGCCCAACTTCCTCCCTCCCACCTAAATGTTCCTTCAGCTTTTGGAAAAATAAATAATTCAATCAACAAATTTTTTACTTTCTGCCCAAGCCAAACCCAATCTTTTTGTTTGTTTGTTTTTGTTTTGTTTTTTT